ATAAAGCATGGCTGTAAAAAGCAGCGTGGTGAGGCTGCTCTTGAGCGTTAATTGTGGATCGGATTCCTTGTGGCAGATGTCTAACCCCAAACATTCAGTGGGGGAGTTAATTTCCAAAATGTCTTTGCTTGAAGATAATTTTTTTTATCTCAGTAAAACATAGTATGTCCAGTCTGTGAGTCAGTGAGTAGCAGATAAGCTACCAACTGTCCTTTGCATAAATAGTATTGTGTACCTCATATGCCCTCTGAACACTAAGATATCCAGTAGAAGTAAGAAGTGAGGTGCTTGATTTGTGTGACAACAATTTATTAAGAAACAGAAGAGGTACTGGGTAGTTGTGAATTTACTACTTGAGGTACAATAATGTCTAATTAACATTTTGACATTAGCATGAAAACAACTCAAAGTTAAAATGCAATGTTAGCACATTAGCATTTAGCTAATAAATGCTATTCTTAGGTCTGTTGTGATTTTTTAAGTAGCAGCCACTGGCTGTGAAAAAATTCTCAGTCCCACAGAGTCTGGAAGTGACACAGTAGGGAGGCATTTTGTGTGTTTCTCTGTGTGTGTGTGCATTTATGTGCATCACAAACACAACAGGACACTCTACTGTCATTCTTTTGTGCATTTATGTTCCTAATATGCATTTATCCTTTGTTTTGTAGCATGTGATTTACAATGCACATACAGGCTACATACAGGTGAAGTTAATGTTCATTTTAAACTGTCTCAATTTCTCTGTAAACTTTTTGTTATTTCTTGTGCTATCCTGCAGGTCGCAAACTGTGTATGATAAAACAAACCACAGAAATTATTATCCCATCCTGTTTGTGATGTGTAGCGCTACTGTAACTCGATTCACCAAGAGCAACAATTTGGTTTTTCTAAAAACTACGATTCCCACTGTGGCTTCTCTGTTGACTGCAGCTTAACTGGTAGTCAAACAGAAAACCCTTATCATAGGTAAACACCAAGTGGCCACTCAGCCATCCGGCTAGAGAGATAGGCAGGGAGGGATAAACATCTCTGTATCGCCATGCAGAGCTGCGTTCAAATCAAATTTCCGCCCTCCAGTTTCAAGGCTTGTTTATATCCAAAAGCATCTGGAATATTAACATGCCCTTGAAAGAATTTCCTGGCATGCCTCATGCAGTGACCACATGCGTCTTTGAGTGTCATATTAATGTGAATGTGCGCATGTGTAGCCGGCCATGTCACAGTGTGGGTATGTTTCTCTTTGTGCGCATATTGGTGAATATATTTCTGTTTTGTGTATTGTGTATGTACCTGTATGTGTCCCAGTATCTAACTACTTGTGCAGAGCCAAAGTTCCCATTACTGTGAAACCCTAAACTATGAGGGCATTTGATAACCAATGTACTGACAGTACTTCTTTAAGGTTTGTAGTTTTTGACCCTTGTTTAAATTGTCTACTCCCCATGCCCAAATGTTTTTAATTGTTTTTGTTCAAGGATAAGAATGATGGTATTCGTATTTTTCTTACTGTCAACAAAACTCATGAAGGAACCAAAACCAACAATGTGTCTGTTCCTCAGACTTCTCTGCCATGTCTGTGACCTGGGACTATTTTCAGCTGCGGATCAATACACATTTAACTCAAAATAAACTACAGTGCCCATGTCCATGATAATGAAGGAAGATGTGACACAGTGCTCATTGTGTGTCTCTCACTGCTGTTTTTTTAATAGCTTCTGGACAACAATGGAGGTCTCTGGTACAGAAGAATAAGCTTTGTCAGGCTATACAGGCAATACTTACCAGGATCAATTCATTACTGGTATTGATGTTTTCATGAAATTTGTTGATAATAAGAAACAACCGAACACTTCCTGTTCTCATGGCACTGGCATACAGAGTGAACATGTGCTATTAGACCCTCAATGTAGCTGTCTTTGCATATGTGTTCATCTGTGACCTTTTTGGGCATGTATGTCGCCACACAAAGCCTGTTCTTTACAATGAACCTGACACCAGAGCAAAGTGGAGCAAGGGATGTTGTAAAAAATCTAAAAACAGCTCCCTGCATGCTTATTTTGCTCTTGTTTTCCTGCAGCACACCAGTTTTTCATTTTGGGGAGGGATGGAGGGATGGAGGGATGGAGGGATAGAGTGAGGAGAGGAAGGCGGGATAGAGTGTGTAGCCCTGACAGTATTTATAGCTCGGTGTTCTGACCAAAATTATCAGTGTACCACAAAATAACTTCCTCTGCCCTCACCGCCAAATAACAGGAAGCATTCAATTGTGCGTATTTATTAATGTTAAGGCACACACATGCACTCACGCAGACACTCACAGTTGTGCACACACTGAAATGTACTCACAAAAACAGCATGAAAACATGCTCTTGTGTACACACAGACATGTACGCACACACATATGCAGTGAGGGTTTGCTGTCTTTATAAATAGAGCAGCTCCTGGAGCCCTGCAAAGTCGCCTGTGTAAACTTCCTCCACTTACTGGAGTTGGTTTTTCTTTGTACTCACAAATTCTCTCTCTTTCTCTCTTTCCTTTTTGTCTGTCGAATTCATGCACATACAGATGGACACATGCTACGAAGTATGTAGGAAACACTCACACACACAAACATGCACACACCCTCAAAGTCTGGCCTCCATTAGAGAGCCATTCAGTGGTTTGGGCGGGGGGGGTCAAAGGTGAGAGTGTGTTAATGGATGACGTGGGGGGTCTTTTCTGCTTGGCTGACCATCACTGCCATGTGCACACACACACACACACACACATACACACACACGGACACGGACACATGCACAGACATAAAATAGCACAAATATATATTTATAAATCATACTTTAACATACTTCTTTCTTTTCCACCACTTTAGTCTGTTTCTTTCAGTCCCTCTCTCTGTGTTTTGCCATTAGGCCTGTAAATCACTGGTTGGACAACGCAACACAGAATACAATCGCAGATGCTGCACCTGGTAGACATGTTAGTGAGCATGTGCACATGTGTAGCTCTGTGTACATACATGTGACAATGTATGAGTTTTGTTTAAGCCTAATTAGGCTTGTTGAAACTAATATGTGCACATTTTATACTGCTGAAGATGAATTGTTTGAATTGATTGCATATCAGAATTATATGTTGTCTAAACTGGTGTTGGCAGTTAAATAATAATAATAATTTCTGTGACCTACAATGCTGAATAGTGTTAATTTGCTTTAAGACTATTGTGGTTATTCCTCTACTTCAGAAATGACGCCTTGATTCAGGGTTTGTGTTTCCCATAATAAAACTACATCAACATTTCTGATACCTCAGGGCTCTGTTCTTAGCCCCTATCCTTTTCTCTCTCTATGTTTCACCTCTTGGCCAAAAAATACACAGTCCTGGAATTAATTTCCATTGCTACGCTGATGATACTCAGCTGTTTATGCCTGTAAAGGTGGATGCTTGTCTGCTGTGATGTCTTGTAATTTCCTGCTTCTATATTCTGATAAAACTGAGATGCTAGTCTTTGGCACAGCTCGACACAAATGCCTGTATGATCAAGTAACAAACTTTTTTGACAGCTAAAAGTCTTTGTTATGTTGATCCTATTCTCTCTTTTCATCCGCACATTAAGGAGATTGCCAAGCCTGCCTTTTTCCACCTATGCAACATAGCTAATATTAGGTATATTCTGTCCTTGGCCGATGCTTTTGCTTCATCCAGACTAGATTAATGTCTCTCTCTCTCGGCTGTTGGTGCCTCAATCCAGATGTTTTGGATCGGGATCTTCATCCTCCAGGAGATTCAGGCTCTCTTCTTAACTTTCTCTCTCCCTTTGTGTTTGTTTCCTTTCTCCTACCTCTGTGAATGGTGTGCTTGAGCTTTGAACTTTTCTTGTGTGTTTGTGTCTGTCCTCTATCCAGGGTTGGTTCTGTTTGGTGAAACATCTGTAGTTGCCCGACATCCTCCCAGATCCATTCTTCATTTATGTTTGTCATATATATGATCCTCTGTTGCTCTTCTTGAGGTTTTCCCTGTCAAAATGTTTTCTGGGAGTTTTTCCTCACATGAATCGAGGGTCTAAGGACAGAATATGGTGTATGCTGTACAGATAGTAAAGTCACTTTTATAAATTTATTATATTGGACTGAATAAATACAACTGACTTGACTTACCTTAACTTGACTGTAAACACAATTATTTCAGCTGTGTAATGACTGGTTGAAGTTGGACAGATCTGAATTTTGTGATCCAGCTAGCAAAGTCTTTTATAGTGCCACCTTTTCCCTCAGTTTCACAAAGTGAAAGAATAAATGAATGAAAGAATGTGAACACAATTATTTAGGGTATGTAATTTTGATTGACTGGCTGCCAACTAGTGTTGCTATGGTGCTGCGACAACTGACAAATCTTTTGCTAAGAGAATAAAATCAATTTCTACATCTGAGGCGTCTAAAGCAGGATCAACAGAACATGTCGGCAGTAGGCACAAATTTTTAGTAATGCTATTTTCTACATTTTGTTTTTTTGACTGAAGCCTTTTGAGTGAACATGCTGTTTTGTTTTATGTAAGTATTGTGCTGGAGTCCAAACCCCAATCAACTGGCTTGAATGTGCTTGTGAATATGTCTGTTTCCACGCCCAGGTGAGAGCAATATCTGCGCTTGTGAGTGCGCGAATGAGTGTGTGTTTGTGTGAGAAAGAGGAGTTGGCTTGGGTTGCGTAACCGCCATGTGCCTGTGTGCCTGGAGCCGCCAGCTCGTTAACCTGCCTTCCTTCCTGCTGTCACCTCAAACTAAATAAACACAGAGGCTATCTGCTGTGCATGCACATGTGCACTAACACCCCCCCCCCCCCCCCCACACACACACACACACATATACATAAATACCCACACTTACACTTGCATTCATGCACGTGGATATTTCTTTCTGTGTCGCCTGAACACATGAGCCGAAGGCTCTTTACTTTGAGGAGGACAGATCATATATCTCTTTCTGATAACAAACACACACATGCACTAACTTTGAGCTTTTATTTACCCTGTAGGGAGGATGTTACAGTTAGGATGGGATGCAACATGTCATTAAAGAATCCTGCCTCTCTGACAGTTGAAAACAAGCTGCCGGGTCTCGGCGGACTTTAACCTCTGCTTGGTGTTTTTCAGCGGGTGGCTTATTGGCTCCCAACCGAGGTTTGCAGATGTTGTGACAGGGCAGCTGAGATGTTATGAAAATAAGACATGAAGTATTAGGCCAGGTTAAAATGTAGATGGTGGTGCAGAATCAAAGCCTTCAGGCAAACAATTTCTGAAATAATGATGAAAGTTGTTAATCAGGAGTTTATATATATATATATATATATTTGTTTTACGTTGAGCAAACATGGCTGTAAATATTTCATGAGTAAAAATCGACAGAAAGAGTTCCTCTTAACTTTACTGCCACACAGCAGGCTTACCTCATTGTTTCCCAAAAGCTCTGTTTTCCTCGTCCACACTATAATGCAGGGCCAGCTTTTTCAAATTCATCCATTTTCAAAGATCTCTGATTAGGATGTGAAAATTATGAGAAAAGATGCATTTTTACTTAGTTCAGATGTCTAAGACAAGATACAGTATGTTAAACATTTGATCAAAGCAGTCAGTGTAATGAGTAAATGCCTTATTGCATTGTTTCTAATAATTTGGAGATGAGTTGATTTATGAAGGGATAAGATGTTTCTTTTTTTTAAAACAGGTTTTCCTAATAAATATTCTTGGACATCCAAACTGATTATAAGACGCTGGTTGGCAAAGTTTGACGTCAGCCGATTTTAACATTTCCTGTGGCCTTTAAATCTGTTTAATACCCACTCTGAAACTTCAGCTTTCCATTCCACAAACACAAAACATATCACACCACATGTAACAAACCCACATCAAGGGAGGTTTTTTTCATAAAAAATAATTACATCAACATACCCCCTTTCTATTTTGTTTTACTTTTAAACTTGGGCCCGGTATTTCAACATTAAACTTAGTTGGGCCTCTCCGTATAAGTTTCTTTCATTTAAAAAATAACACAGGAACATGGAGGAGGGGTAGCAGTGGAAGCATTAATAAACAAAGAAGTAAATAATGTTTATTGCAAGCCAGACATCACAGCGGGTTTATGGCTGGACTGTAAACTGGAAGACCCAGCTTAGAATTTACATAATTACTTCCTGGTGTAAATTACTCACCCCCTCCCTCTCCTACTCTTCATCTCTCTACCTCTATATCTCTCTCTCTCTTCTAGGTCATTTCATTAGTCTTCATCCAACAGCACCAATATAAGGTTTTTTCAATTGCATTAAATCTATAGAGGAAGTGTTTTTGAATAGTTTGCCTGTGCCAGTAGCATGCTACCCCATTTATTCATTATTTTTTCAGTAATACATGGTGTCCAAAAATAACTTAATGAAGTTTGGTGTTGATGTGCTGTCCCACAATGTAATGCACAACAGAAAGGAATAAAAAGTGAAAAAACCTTCAGGCAACAGCTCAGAAACAACAACAACAAACATTCACAAATTATTACTATTATTATTTTTATTATATTGTTATTGTGTTGTTTTAAATTTCCGACATTGCAAATTGATCTATTCACATGACTTATAAAAGTTGCTTGGTAGTGGCTTTCAACACATAATGCCACTTAAATTTAGTTTTTTTAAATCAACATAATGAGGAAATGGTTTTAATCAATGCTTTTACCAAGTCACAAAATGTTCATCAGCATATGTGTACAATTTCACCTACAACTAATTTGATTTGCTTTCCCTACAGTTTCTGCTGTTGCAATATAATACCTACTTATTGCAACTAAAGCAACTAGATATTGTTGTTTATTATGATGTTTTGCCACTCAGAGCACTTAAGATGAGGGAAAGATCATGTCCTTTGTTAAATATCGGAAAAAAACTCAACAGTGACTTAAGACACAGCATGTTTACTATATTGACATTTAATCGAAAATGCAATCTTTCCCTAACCTCAACCAAAGTGTATTTGTTGCCTGAACCTAATCACACACAGCACACAGGATCCCACGTCTCAAAGTCCTGTGATTTGTACCACCAACCATACACCTCCCTACAACTCACATGCGGTACAAATTTGCAGCACCTCCTTCACGTACAAAAGATGTCGCCACAAAACATTATTCTTTCCACAGAATGACTTATGGGCTTTTTCTGATCTTCCAGTTTTAACGGTTAATGTTTGGTTCAAGCTACTTCTCGGTTAAGGCAAGTTAAACCAGTCTCAATGGTAAACTGTGGAGACCTCCACAATAAGAGGTTTTGCAGTGTTACAGCAAAGTCACCATGTTACGCTTTTACTTACAGGCATTATTTGCATGACTGCAAGAAGTCACTTATCATAACATGTTTTTTTTTTTACCAATGCTGTTGATCTCCTGGTGATAGTCTCAAGCTAATATGACAATAAAACCAGTGATGGGATTCATTTTTGTTTTGGCCATTTTGTGCTAATAGGATAGCAGACAGCTTAGGGCCGTATTTAAACTGTACTTTACCAATTACATAAAGTGCATCTTATACCACTGGGAAACGGGGACACCCAGATATATTCTTTACTGTTATTATATAGCTTTGACCCAGAAGTTGCATCACAGTTTAACAAGAAACACATTGCATAACTTCCAGACAGGTCTCATTGCTATATTATTTCACCATTATTACTATTTTACAAACATAATCTCATCAGTGTGAGAGTATTCATCGGTCTTGGGACTTGGGAAATGTCTGGAGAGTTTATGTGATGACAAAAGCAAGTTTTAAAAAAAAATTGATCATCAGGAATATTTTGTTTTTGCATTTATACAATGAAACACTGAGATACAGGGAGTGTTTTCTGTCTCTGGTCCAGCATTGAATTGTAAAGCACAGGGTTAGGTTAGTGGAGGTCAGGGAACAAGAGGACAAATTGCTAAATGAAACGTTTCTTCATCTTTAGGTCAGACTCTTTGCATGAGTGGTGTTTATGTCATGGACTTAAGAAGAGCAGTATGGAGGGCTCTGGCCTGTTTGCTATTTGTATTTTCAGCCTTTTTCTCTGTTGTCCCTCTGTCTTTCCCTCTCTCCTAACACTTCATCTCTTCCTCCCCTCTCTTTTTCACTCTTTCACTCTCTCTTTCTCTGTCCTTCTTTCCCACTGGGACGGCCCCTATGTGCTTTGGAGGCCCTCAGAGATGAAACCACACATTGGAGCTGTAGCAGGGGGTAGAAGAAGGCTCCAGAAAAAGCTCTGCTGGCGCTCTCAGCCAGGACACCAGCCAGAAACCAAACTGGATGTGGTGAAACTGTCAAATTACTTAAGGAAACTGCAGCAAAACCTCAGGAGGCGAAAAACAGAGAGGGAGAGGAGAGTTTTTTAATTTTCATTGTGTTGCAATACAAGCAAAGAAAATGGTATTTGTAAAATAATTTATGATTTAGAAAGTTGTCAGTGGGGAGGCCTGGCTGTCAAGGAGCATACAGTATCTTAAAGTATTTAGTTTCCGTAGCTATTATTTTTTTCCAATGTACTTTAAATTGGTTTCTTCACCCAAGTTGCTTTCCAAAATATTTGTAGTTCAGTTAAAAAGGAATTTATAAATGGCATCGATCAAGTGAAGTCCAGCTGGGGACCTTTGTTGCATGTCATTCGACCGTTGTTTCACGTCTGCTCTCCAATAAAGAAATAAAATGCCCCAAAAATACCATTTATTTGAATGAATTGAAATACTAAGTCCACGTTCACATAAAAAATATGTCTGTTTTTGGGCCTGCATTGACCGCAGAAAAGAAAACTTTTTACAAAAAATGATTCTGAAAGTTGAGACATTTGTACCAATCGTGAGGCTGGAACATAATAGACAACAATAATTAGAAGTGTTTACCAATTATTTTGTGAGGGAAATCAACAAAACCACATCCATTTGCAACCCAGTTCCGAAAAACAATGTTTACATACAATACCAATTTGTTTTTCCAGTTGTGTTTTGGAGGAAACATAATTTATGCCTATATACAGTGGCATCACGTCTTTTAAGTGCTTCTACTCAGCTGGAGATGCAGCTTGTTAGAGATATTTACCCCAAGTACATTTTAATTTGTGAAAAGTTTACAAACAAGTGCTTTATGTAGTTTTTATGTTTTTTATGTAGATTCTGAAATTTGCACTGAAATTTTATATAAAAAAAGAATTACTATTGATTTTTAATTATGTTTAACTGATTCCGGTTTCATGTCATTTGAGGGGAAGAAGTAACATGAAAACATTGTAAGAGTTGCCATAAGGGATGAATCAGCTCAAGGCCTGAGTGGATCATTAGGCTGCTATAAGTCACTGCTATATGTTTCAAATAAAGTGTTACCATTTGTGACTGTTTGTGTGTGTGTATGAATGTGGATGTGTGTGTGTGTGTGTGTGTGTGTGTGCGCGCATGCTCTGGCTGCACTGAGACTTCATGCCCAACAGTTATAGACAGCAGACAGTCCAATGCCTCCACCTCTCTATCTCTCTTTAACCCCCCCCCCCCAAACACACACACACACACATACACACCTCTTTCTCACTCTATAACATATAGTAATAATCTGGGCCTCCAAGGCTTCCTGTGTCCTACACATAGCCTGCAAATAAACACAATCATATTCATTTACCCCTACACACACACACACACACAACCACACAAAAGCATTCATTCGTGCACAGCCGTGCTGCAAACATACCCACAGACACACACACACACGCACGCACACACACACACACACACACACACACACACACACACACACACAAGCATTCAGGCATGTGTAGACACACAAACATGCACACTCTATGGCTGAAAGAGGACTCAGACCAAATGGATAACCACTGCTATTTCTTCCCTCATTAAGCAGCAATATTACGACCTGACACTCTGAGAGGCCTGTGGGCTTGGACTCGGTGTCTTGAGGTTTCCACTGTTAAAGAGGGGAATGTCTCCTTCTGTTACAGGAAGAGGGAAGAGAGGAATCAGAGGAGATAACCAACGATTCCACAAAGATTTAATGCCCATATATTAGAGGTTAAATCAAGGAAACTGTGTGTCCACAGGATGATTAAGGTCACAGAGAAGTGGAGGAGCTTTCTTTTGGCAGTCTCTACTTACATTCTCTGTGTTTCTTACAATTAAGCATTCAATTTGCATAATTTCTTTTCCATTCTCAGATCAGGAGCAATTTCAAAATCATTATGACTTCATCATAATTTCCTAAAAACATAATTTATACATGCTTGTTTTTTGCACCAGCAACAAGATGCCAGGTGTAAGTTTTATAGATGTTAATTGGCAGGTTGTTGTTTTTTTAAACTTTTGAACAAAGCTCAGCTGTTTCCCCCTGTTTCCAGTCTTTATGTTAAGTTAAGATGATGGTTCTATAGTGCCATATTTAGCTTACAAACATGAGAGTGGTATTGATCTTCTCATTTAACTCTTGGCAAGAAAGTCAATTAGCATATTCTAAAAAAAGGAAA